AACTCGTTCGGCCAAATAGCGGCTTGGAACGCTGTCAAAGCTACCAGCTGTGTAGTTAAAAAATTAAGGTCTGTTCCCTTACACTAAGCATAATTTTCCCACAAAACTCCAGAAAACTAAAAAAAAAAATACAAGCAATCTTTGCTGATTTATTTTTAAATTGATGCGAATTAATTTTTGCATTTCAAATCATTCCTTTATAGCTATAAGTACATTTATTAAAAACAAAAAAAAATATACTTTTCAAGAGACGACTGACCAGAAGTTTGACATCATAAATATGGCTAGCTTTGTGTGAAAAGTTGCTAAGTCCACAATTTGTGAAACCTCATGATATAGGAAGCAAGAGAAATTAGGGATTAAGGTACTTGTTTTATTTTTTCTCATTTATATTCAATGGAAGGCAAATTTTCTAAGTCCAGAAGAGGCTTCGAAAATCCGATAAGGCCAAAATAATACGAAATCTTTTAATAAAGATCGAATCCTTTTGATTCGTATGGAGTTTTGCTTTGCTTTAAACACGCAAAATATTGTATTCAAAGTTCCTGTAAAATTTGTAAAAATGGACTTAGCAACTTTTCAGTTTGAATTCATTTAGAACGGGAACATACCTTTTTGTCAAAAGCCTATAAAGCGCTTTCAAATAAAACATTTGCCTATTTGAAATTTTGAGGCGCTTAAAGCAAGTGAAGCAAAGCTGCCATTTGGCCAGCCTTCATACGTTTTAGTATATTCCAAATAGCTTCTGACAGTTCTCAAAGCAAGGCAAGCAAAGCAAGCCTGCATTGGGCCAATAACTTAAGTCTTTAACAATTTTAAAGCAAAACACTTATTTCTGATAGGGGAAATAATTGCATTTTTACAAGATTAAATTAAAAATCAACCATGCAACTCTCAACCTCACGTTTATTTGAGGGCAGAAAAGGCAGCACTATCGCCGGATCAGAGCGCAACCTGCTGAGAAAAGAACACGACGCCTTGTGAAAGGGCTGAGAAAAGAACTTGAAAATGTGACAGCGTTAACACAAGGCAGAATAAGTGCAGCCTTTTTCCGAAAAAAGAAAACGCTATAAGATCTACCACTTACACCACCACCATCGACAGCCCGTATATCAAGCGAAGAAAATTCCTTGCCAACAGGTGCATTTACGTGCTCTACAAATATGTCATCATCAGAATCCTTTTACATATATTACAGTGATTCATGGAATATGTGGAATGAAGCCATGACATTTCATTTGTTTTCCAGTTTAAATATATAGTAAAACTTACAATTTCATCGTGGAATATAACACTACTATTAGTCCTTACTTCTTCCAAAGCAAGAGACAACACCACTGTCAAAGGAGAGCGATATGTGTAGATCGATGATAATGAATTTTTTGCGGTCAAAATTAGGACAAACAGTGAATTATTGAGATAAAAATTTGGCGATTTGAATATTTTCATAATTTGTGGCAATGAATGGCCTCCAATAAGTTGTGATTTAACACCTTTGGACTACTTCTTGAAGCTTTATTTAAAAATATCGGTCTATACGAAAAGCTATTCATACAAGCTATTCATGCTAGAGTTAGTGGAAAAAGTGCTCGAATATTAGGTCCTTCAGGCCAATTTCTCCAATAGGAACCATGCAGACCATTTGAATAAGTTGTATTCAAAACTTTTTTGTATGGATTGTATTTCACAGTGAATAAAAAACTTTTGAATTTCCTCAACAATTAGTGTGTTTTTAGACATGGTCTACCGAAAAATTATGATGCTCTGGTAATACGATGGATCCTTCGATTTGGCAGCTTTGGCTGAAAGCCGAACGCGAGGGCAACCCAATAGTGCACTGAAATAACCAAGTGCAGAAGAACTCAGTTATACTTAGCAAAGGAGATATAAAATTGGTGTAGTTTTGTCTCGTTGTGCCACATTAAATTAAGAACATTTAATAGAAAAATAGAATTGTGCGAAACTAACGCTCTTGTGGTTATAGATCAATATAGAGATTTTTCCTTAAAATATATAGTGCGTCCTCAGAAGTGTTCTTACCAAAGTACGGCTACGTGTCACCAGCTAATTTTAGTGAAAATTATATTAGTTTTCGAAGTTTTGGTTTCACCAATCAAATTTAATTTGTTTTTCATTTTTATTTGAGTGACCTATGCTCTTCACTTAAATAAAAATTAAATCAGAATAGCCACACTCGAAGAGATTATACGTTTAATCAGCTGATCAGTACAAACTAACCGTGAAATTGTGTGTCAGCTATTCAGTTCTATATCCATATTTTTACTCATTTAAATATATAAATTATTCAAACTTAAAAAAAATTTACTGAGGATTAAATAAAAATTAACTTCCACTTAAACTAATCTAGTGAATCGCAGCCTAAATGATATTACGGCTAGGTTAAAGGAAGTGTTGACAAGCCCACTTTGAAATTAGTTATTCTTCTTTTCCGGAGCCTTAAAGTACGAAAAAATATGTGCTACCGTGTACCATAAAACCAACAATGCGACTACAGTTCTGGATGTCATAAATTGACGATACTAGTCTAGTTTAGCCAAACCGAAAAAGAGTTGTTACTCGTTTAAAATAAAACAAATATCAACAGAGCACAAATTTATGTTTGGCGGCCACCGTGGTGTAGTGGTTACATCGTGCGACCAGGTATGGGCGTTTTTGAATGAATTATTATTCAAATAAAAAATAAAGTTTTATTCATAATTTTTCTAACTTTGAGTGAGGAATAAATTTTTATTATTATTTATCTATACAACTTTTTACTTTGCGAACTTTGTGCAATGGTGCCGAGTTTTATGTTTAATGATTGCTACCTAAATGTTTTCATACCCAAATTTTCACGGTAGAATTGTTTAATTACTTTTACGCCCTTTTCACTTCAAAATTTCACTAGGCGAAATTCATGTAACATGTAAACTATTCCCGAACAGACTCAATGCTATTATGACGGCTAAAGAGTTTCTTAAAATTCTACAAGTTTTCATAAAGAAAAAAATAAAATTAAAAAAACTTATAAAATTTTTAATTGGTAACATTTCCAGTGTCTACCACTTTATGTTATAAGCAGTTACAGTTACAACTTTTATTCAAAAAAATCGCTCCTTAACATTTATTTTTTTACTTTTATTTAATTGCTCCTTAAATAACCGTTATTTTTTACTTTTATTTTATGAATCCAAAAAGACAATTATTTTTGATTTGTATATAAATAATCTGCAAATAACAGTTATTTTTGATTTTTGAAATATTTTTCTTAGATAACATTTAACGACGACTTTTATTTATAAAAGTCATAAATAAAAATCAATCACTGACCTTTATTTTTTAAATCATACTTATAAAAGTCATTTGTATAAGGCGTAGTCAACTTTTGTTTCCCCAACACGTTCTTAACTGCAAAACATTTTAATGACTTTTATACGAATGATTAAAAAAATAAAAGTCGGTGACTAATTTATGTTGATGACATTTAAAAGTAATAGCCACTGACTGATTTTTATTGATGCATTTTATAAATAAAAGTCTACAATAACTGTTATCCAAGACATATAATATAAAAATCAAAAATAATTCTTATTTTAGATTTATAATATAAAAATCAAAAATAATCGTTATTTTGTTTAATTTTGCATAAAATTTGCAAATAAAAATTTATTTTTAAATTTGAGTCTCGATGAAAAAATAGAACGATTGTTATGTATCACTTAGTTGTAGAACATTTCCTTCATAGTGAATATTTTCAAGACAGCTTTCATCAATAACTGTTATGTTCGGTCCCTGGTTATAAGGGTTTGGTCTTGAGTTTTTTTTTTAAATTTAGTTTTGGTATTTTTATATTAAGTATCAGGTTGACCGAGCTTTTTGAAGTTTTCAAGATTTGGATAGCTTTAAAAAAATATTTTGGAAATAAACAAAACAAAAAATAGGATTTCGATATCTATTAAGTAAACTCCTTACTCTAAAATTTAGGTGGCAACACTATTCCGAAATACGTTGGAATGAATGGTACATATCTTAAGCGTGTATGTACTATGTATATGTAAATGTATAAAAAAATGTTGATCGAAAATAACAAAATAAAAATTTGTATTACATAGAAGCGTGGAAACCCTGATGAAAAATATTTTCTGGCCAAAGTTTTCAACAATACCTTTCATTTGATGTCCATATTGCGATGTTTTAGATAAATTGTGAAGAATCGAAAATAAGTGGCAACCTTACACTATTATCCTAAGAGATGACATTTTTTATATAGGGAAAGCATTGTTTAAGAACCTTATCTTGGTATCCATATTTTACCGTTTTTTCTAAACAAAAAATTTAATAAATATACGATGGAAAATATGTGGCAACCCTATTAAAAATGTTTTTTAATTAGGGGTCTTTAAAATACCTTCCATTTGATACCCATATTATGATGTTTTAATTAATTTGTAACTAATTTCGAATAAATGGCAACCTTATACGAGTCTTCTCAGAGATAATGCCTATTCAGATAACCTTAAAATCCAAAACATTATCTGTGTACAAACTTTCATCAAAATCGTTAGAGATGTTTCCGCGAACCCTATAGATATATATATATATGTATATATATATACAAGAATTGCTCGTTTAATTTAATAAGATAGCAAATTGTTTAATTTTATATTTAAAAGTCACGGTTTTTTGGCCGCTTATTGTAAATTATTAAGTTTTTTTTTGGCTATAGGCCAAGAATAAGGCCTAAATTTTAAGATGTACTTTGTTGTTCGTTTTATAATAATTACTTATAACGATAGATGAATCCATATTTAGTTCCATCCTGGAGCTTAAAAATCGATTAATTTTTTTATTTAATTAAATTAATATTTCCAGTTTTCATCAAGAATAGAATCAGGCCTATTTGTTTTAGGCGATTTATAAACACTTGGAGTAAAAAATTTATTTACTTTAAACATTTTTTACATTTAGTTTCTTCTTAAGTATTTTATTTTTCATTTTACCTTAAAGTCGGTTTTTCACTCAAAACGAAGGCAATAGTTTCCGATATTTTTTGTCTTAACCTTTTTAGAATTAGCAGCTATAAGTTGTGTGTATTTAAGTAGCTCTTTTTTTGCAATTTTTCAAAACTGTAAATTGACACTTTTTTCAGCACATTTTTACAGTTATTCTATTCTCCGCTTCAAACGGCAGAGTCAGACGATTGGAATTTTGCGCAAAATTTGGTGTAAGTTGCTAGCCAAATCGTGTGATGGAAATAAATATTTTGCTTAAATATCACTCAAGAAGGAAGCCAATCAATCACAACCAGTTATTTCCTTAATGCACTTGTCACAAAACTTGCACACGCTAATCGTAATATTTTTTATTTATTGCATTACTTTTCTAGTATTTGTACAATTGCATTTTGGGGTAACCCGTATACACTTTAAACTCGATACATGTATTTGGGGAAATGTAATAATTTTCGTGCGAATAATTTTGTAATTACGATTACTTATGGCTTGTTCACAGTATTCAAGTATGCATATAGTTTAACAAAAAAAAAAAAAAAAAAAACCAATTCCAAATTCACAAGCGATCACGCACTTAAGTCATTGGAGTCAATCGAATCGAATTAAATTTCGACGAAAAATTACGTCTTCCGAAGCGAACGAAATGCTGTAGCCCTACCGAGTACAACGTCGATTGAGCTTTTTGAACGTAGCCGTGTTGCCGTTGCACGTTGCACGCGCGAATTGCCGTTGTGCGAAAATGTGCAAACAGTCCCGCAAGAAAGCCGTACAGAAACTGCAAGACGATAGATCAGGCCAACTGCAGGCAGGCCAGCATAGCCTAGCAATTCCAATGCGGTGGACGAGCGTGCGAGCGATGCGAGTTACTGCAATCCAAACAAAAGCAACAGCAACACCAACAACAACAACCACAACAGCGCTATCAAAAGCAACAACATCCAGAAGCAATGCAAGCAAAGTAGCATGAAAATGCGAAAAATTGCAATCGAAGCAGCCAAGTTGGTAACAAGTTGGCAAGATCGTAGGAGCGGCGGCGGCGGCGGCGCAACAGTGACGGCAGCACATTCAATTGCCGGTGCAACGAAATGCAATAAAATTCCAATGGAAGGCGCAAAGGCACACAAATAAAACCCAAAAAGCACAGCACGAGAGGCAAAACAGCAGAAAGATTGCAAAGAATTGCAAAAACAGCTAAGTAGTAAGCAAAAAGAATAAAGCAAATAAACAAGCAAATGCGAACAGCAAACGGCGCGACAAGCAGTACCGCAAAGGCAACCACAACCACAACCGCAATTGCCATCGCAACGACAACGGCATAAAAAAGCGGCAGTGGCAACACGAGCCGAGCAGCAAGAAAAAATCGTGTGCAAATCTCGTAGCAACAACCTCGCAAAGACCGACTGACCGAGTAATACAGAGCGGCGGTTGGTGGCTTGCTGTGGCTGCCGCAATGCTGCTGACAGATGCAGTGGCGACGTTAGCGGTGTTGGTGGCAATGCTGCGCAATGGGCAACAGCAACAGTTGCCGAGCGTAAGCGAAATGAAAAACGAGTCTCAGGAGTGTAAAAGTAAAGCCAAGCAAAGCAAAGCCAATGATCCGCAACTCAGAAGAAAATAAAGCGAATGAGAGTGAAGAAGAGTGGTCTAGAGAGAGAGAACGCGAGAATAAGGCTCTGCGTCATCACGAAATACACGAAAAGCCGCTATTCTGCGACAGCGAACCGCTGCCAAGTAGACCAACTATGGTCAAGTGGCAAACGAAGCCAGCGGCAGCAATGGCCCGTAAAAGAGTTAACAGCGGCGATGGTGTACCTAGTGGATGCAAAACGGTGCGCCCTAACTTCGAAGAGCGCCTACTTCGCAAGAGCATCGTAAGCTGAGCTTAAGAGTAAACTGTTTATTACTTTGGTACCTCTAAGATCTATGGTATTGTTGAACTAACTGCCTTCACCAACATAAGCCGTTGGTGATTTTTCCATGCGCTCCCAATTCCAAGCTACTCAGCTGAAAATTCGCTGAGCGCCTTTGCTTTTGCGTGCGCTCTCATTACGGTTTCTTTCCAAGCTGGTGGATGGCTAGTAGAGGTGCAATGCTGCCTCTACGCCGGCCAATAAAAAATCATCATTGATGAGGAAATCGAAAACGCGGCAGCGCATGCGAGTACCGCTCTTCTACTACGTTTCCAGGAAATTCGAAAGAGTAATTGTTTTTCGTTTTAAATAAGAGTATCGTTTTTTGTTATCTAAAGATTATCTGAAGAACTTTTTGATTTCATTTAAAGTTGATTTTTAATTTTCACATTTTAGTAATTTATAAATGAAGTTTTGGCACACAACAAATATTTATGCATGTACATACCTATTCAAAGAACAACATGAGCTAATCAAAAGACTTAAGCAACGAACCTGGTTTTATTATACTCATATGGCCTTATTCATAAGAAATAAAGTAGGTTTGTAGAGCTTTATAAATTGACGTTTTCATACATTTTTCAATATATAAACCTTTTTTAAAGCTACTTAATTTTTTATGAATAAGGCCGAAAATGTTTTGGGTCATTTTGACCCAACAGGTAAGTATGTCCTTTTTATAGAAACTTACTTTGTGTTGCAGCTAAAACATGTAGATATTTTAACATTTTCCTGACTTAACTGTATGTGGACAAAAGCAACGTCGCTGTTTTTTATCTAATATCGTAAAAAAAAAATTGCGAATTCCTCGCCTGGTTTGCAAGTTCTCATAGCCAAATACTACATTTCCGAGATATGCATACATCTGAGACTTACTTGTTGAGTTGATTTCTGTCCAACGCAATCGGGTTCGACTTATAAAAATCGGTTTTAAAAATCATTAGTTGTCCTGAGTGTTCCTTACCATTAGTTCCTCTTTTGGCGTTGAACGCAGCGATTTCCCAAACAAAAATCACAGAATTCATTGCCAACTGTAGTTAAAACTTCATTTGCGATAATAATATTACTTTAAAAAGCATATAAAATCTTGGGTCAAAATGACCCAGAAATGCTGCGTGTATCTGGAAAAGGTGTTGCGCCTTCTTATAATATAACTAAAATTTTTATTTTTTGACTCAAAGCCGTAGCCACTGATGATATTATCCAGTAGATTTTGCCAAAATAATAATAATAATAATAATATTACCCACAGCATTACTTAGCCTCCGAATGGCTAATGGATATTATGACAAGCCTTTGCCAATTTAGATGTTGCCCGGGCCAAGTATCATACCCAGATCCTATGGAGTAGGCCTTAGCGGCCGCTATAGCCTGATTAAAATTAATTAAGTTTTTATTAAAAACATTTTTTATTGAAAATTTAGTTAATTATGCCCAAACATTGTACAAGGGAAATGCTATAAAAAATATGGCAATATACATATGTTTGTCCAGTATATCAACTTTCTACACAACATACAAAATATATAAAAACAGCTTATTCAACTCTATCAGTCTTAGCTTGAGACCAATTCACCTAGGGATCTTTAAAATTGTTTCCTGAAATAATCTTTTGCATAAATTCTCATAGGCTGGACTTAAATTAAAAGTATGTCATGCCAACGAGCGATGCCACCTTAGTTCATCAACCAGGAAACTATAGCCTTCCTTCTTAAGAGAAAAACGAAGCTTTGTGAGATTGCTGTCGTATGCTCTAGGAAAATGCCGCCCACACAAATTCCAAAGCATCTGCATAACCATAATCAATATATTCGTGCGTACACATCTTTAGAGTTAGTGTGAAAACACGAAGGCAAAACTGCAAAATATGCACGTTTCGGCCGGAATTGCTCTAGAAACTCTGCAGCCTTGAATTTTAGTTCATATCTATTCAGGCAGATGGATTATGGGTAGGTCATGACTTCATTTTATTACCTTTAGTGGAATCGATACATCTTCTCCTTGGTTTTTTTTTTAATGAATATTGACTCTCTCTATTTCTTAAGAAAATACAAAAAGCCTAAAAATACAACCAAATTCACTGACACGGGTATAAGGCTAGGGGTTCTGGCCATAAAACTAAATCTTTGGCACAAATAAAATTTTATTTTTGGCATTTTTGGTACAAACGAGAGAAGGTGGAAAGTATTTCAAAATTCCCTAAATCTCCTATTCGGTTTCGAATAACACTTTGGTGCTTGCACCTCTTTGCTGGGCAGAAGTGCACATACTGGAGGACTTGACGGGAAATTTTAAACAGCAGCAGCTCCCTGATCCGATGCGGCTTCTAATGTTTCTGGTGTTACCGAATCGTACCAACCAATATTGAATTTCGCTGTTTAAGAAAGTTTGCTCTTCTATTTGGAACATGTATTACATAAATGAAAGGAAGATATTTACATACACACATAAAATATAAAATAACAAAAAAAAAACTTCATTATTATTACTTGAATAAAAGTTTGTCTTAAATTTTTTTTAATTAAAATACTTCTTAACAGATAATAATATAAATATTTTTAATTATTTTATGATCACAAAAATTTATATCAAATCATAAATCTAAAAGTAATAACTTCAGGTGGCTTCTGATGAGCAATAGATGCAAAAAAACGTTTAAGCCGGTAGGATCCAATATTGGCACATCTTAGTTAAGATTTAATTTTATCTAAAGTCTGATCCATATCCTGCTGGAGCCTCACTTAAGAACGAATGGTTCATTGTGATATCATTTTGGCTAGATTCTGAACGTACTTCTATAAAATAGAGCAAAATATTTTTATTTAGAAAGCACCGAAAATTACAGATTTTTAAAGGATTGAATCTGAAGAACAAGTAGAGATATGCAAATGAAGATACCTTTATGAAGAAATCAAATATTATTTTAATATTAAAATATACCAGATAGTGCGATGAAAAAAGAATTGTTTTCTCTAGATCAAGATGAGCACTTATAAAAAGCAAGCAAAGATATTTGTTAACCCCTTTTTGGACTTGCTTTTAATTTGCAATTAATTTAGCTGAACTGCAATCAAACCCTGCTTCTACCAAGTCACAGCGCGCTGCTCCATTTAATAGGCTATGTTGCCGCCTTTTAAGTCTAAATTTTTCACTAAAATCAAACTTCCATTTCGCTAATTTTAATACAAATAAAATTGGCACTCAGCTTGCCGCTACCAAAATTTTAAGTTGCCTGCCATTCGATAAAGGACACACAATAACACAGCAATAGACATTTTTGACTAAGTTGTCGCAGCGCGTAATGCCAATGATATCACTTCATTAAGTTGTAAGTTGTAATTTACATACAAACCAGCACATATATATATATGTATACTCCAATACATTAACACAACAGCAGGCTGCCAATTGCCATCACACTTTGGGTGTTGTGCCTATCTGCCTGCCAATGGCATGACAAAGGCGACCAAGTCGAGAAGCGCAAGATGCGTATGTTTTTGTTTGGAGCTGAAAGCAACAGTCAAAGCAAAGCCAAATAGAAGAAGTGCCGATGCCGAAGTTCACAACAACAATAACAACAACATGACAAATACACAGACACTTGTCAGGCGCGTTGTAATTTATGACAATTTCATTGTGCCGCCGATCGACCGAACAGTTGAAGTGGAAGTGGAAGCCGCAGCGGCCAATAAGGTGGCACCATGTCGCACAGCACAACCATCTGCCACTGCTATGGCAACTAATGCAGTGGTGCTATATTATTGGTTTATGTATGTAGACACTATATACATATGTGTGTAAGTATATGTATGTTTTTTTTTTCATTTTGTTTCATTTATTTATTTTTC